AGGAATTTTCTGGTCTATCCAAGACCAGCTATTGGCAGAAGAAAAAAAGGCAGAAATCAGAGGTTTGCTAACGGCAGCTGGCCCTATAAAGCCTTTTCTGGCAGATCGGTGACAGCCTTGGACATATGGTGCCTGAGAAATCCCAGTTTCACTGTTGGACTCTTCCCTGCAGCCTTTCTCATGCGAGCTTTGCAGCTGGTCTCCTGTCTCTGCCCACCCCAACAAGCACTAGGGGATTTGGGAGGGCACGAGGTCTCGTGTGGAGTTCCCCCCTCCGTGAGTTATGGGACTCAGGCAGGTCAGCTCCCCGGCACAGGGATTTGCTGCCCAAAGTTGGGTGAAGGTGGCTGGGCAAAATCGTGCCTGGCCTTGGGGAGAGGAGGAGGGCTGCAGCAAAGCAGAGATTAAGGGATGTAATGGAGGCCAGAGAGCGAATAAATAAAGCAAAGCCTGGCACGCCTGCTTGGCCGGCCTTGGCTGCCCAGGGGATGCAGCTCTGGGACAGTGTCCTGCATGTACCTACCCTGGGCAGCTGTTGCCTTCACCAACCCCCCAGCTCTGGGGCTGGTCCCTCTGTCATAGAAAAGGTGTGGAAACACCCTACAAGGGGTTTTCAGCCTCCCAGCTGGCATTTAATAAGTGTGGTGCCTTAGGCAGTGAGGAGAACTGCTGCTTTGCAGGCTGCATCCCTTGAAAAGCCAGAGCCAGAATGGAAACGGGTGTAAAAGAGGTGAAGGAGGGGTTCATCCTTCCTTGCCGATCTCCTCTTCAGCCTTGGCATCCCTGTACGTGCAGGGAGGTCACCCAGCCCCTGTGGGGATCAGCTTGGGGCCACTCCCGGGTCTTATCTCTTTCACTTGATCATAAAGTCATCTCGTGAGGGTGACTTCATCCCTGGTTATTGACAGTTGTGTAACTCAGCTCTTTGGAGGTTTGCCCCTTCTCAGCATCAGACTGAAATTGCCACCGTCACCATGTGCGTGGCTATTACCCCCAGCATCTCTGCCTTGCCCTTTTGGGACTAACCACACATGATCTTTTTTCCCTCCCTCTTTCTAGCATGTTTCCCAGTGTAATCCCAGACTGCGACCCCACCGTTTCTCCCAGGCTGTATCACATCTGCATGGCACCCATCTCCGTAAGTATCTGCTGAGTCCTGCAAGGTGGGTTATCTGCCCCAATGTCATATTTGCTGTCCTCCACCTTGGGGTTATGCCCATCTACTCTGTAATAGCAGGTCTGGGCTCTTCAACTTGAGCTGGAGTGAGGTTTGAGCTGGAATGCTCTAACAAGGGACTTGCACATCTCCAGACTTTGTTTTGTGGAAGGCTTTGATTTATTTTTATTTTTTCCCAGTACAGTCCCTCTGAGGTGTTTAGAGTCCGTAAATCACCAGAGCAGATTGAGAAGCACCTGTCCCTGCTTCAACCATGGCTGGATTTAGGGTGTTGAGTGGAGATGGTGTCTCCATGGAGGCTCCCATCACATAGCAGCATGTCCAAACCACCCCCAGACGCCTCCCTCCATGTATTTATTGCTCCTTTGATTGGGTTTCTGGCAGCTGGCTGTACTCATGGGCTTGTCCTTGCTGGTGAAACGCAGGCGTCTCCACCGGAGCTGCTGGAACGGCGTCCCAGGACTGCTCAGGTACCCTGGCCCTGCACCCCAGTCCCCAGGGACCCTGGCACCCTGCAGCCAAGTGGGTGGAAGGATGCTGAGGTGCAGTTTGGGATAAACCAGCTCTGGGGCAGAGGATGGTGGGGACAGGGTGCCCATGACCTGGTATCAGGCTCATTCTTTCCTTGACTTGCAGCCCAGCCAACTTTCTGGAAGAGGAAGGCAACCGAGGGCTGGTGGCTGCCGTGTTCGGCATCCTGTTCTCCTCCCTGTGCGTGCTGGTCTTGGACAAGGACCCTCTGCCGCTCATCTCCCACTCCTCCCAGAGCACTCGGGGTAAGGCAAGCACCCTCCTGGCCTGTGGGCACCACAGTCCTCCCCATCCAGAAGGCATGCAGCTTTGGGTGGCACCCTGAGCAGCCTGTTCACCCTGGTCCATACTGAGAGCATTTCCTTCTCTTGCATGTTTTGCTCTCCCTCCTTTCTTCCCATCATCCCATACAGAGTACTGGAAGATCCTGGCTTTGCTCTACTATCCTGCCTTCTACTACCCCCTGATCGCCTGTGCCACCGTCCGTCACAGGGTCAGCTACCTTGTGGGCTGCCTGCTCTCCTGGTGCCACTGCGTGGTCCATATCTGGCAGAAGGTGGATTGTCCCCAGTCGCCGAAGGTATATGTCCCACAGCCTGGGGAAGGACCGGGGAGGCTAGTGTGGCTCGGGGTTGAAAGTGGCTTTCTCATCACCTCCTTGAAATGACGTTAAGGTGTCACCTGCCCAGGACTAGGCCCTTAGGCTGTGGTGAGGTGGTGTGTGACCTCTCTGCTTCTCCCCAGATATACAGGTACTACTCCACGCTTTCTTACGTCCCCATCATCCTCTGCCTTGTGCTCTTAAGCCTTTGGTATCCAGCCCTGCTCATCAGGAGTTTCACCGGGCAGGAGGAGACCTTGGATAAGGAGGTAATGAAGATCCATAGGGGGGCGCAGGCGCAGGCGTCTTATAGCATGGGAGAACCCCCTTGATGGACCTGCATGGTTTAGGGAGGTCGTCTACCCTGTGGCCAATCTGTCTGCCTTGGGGACCAGGAGAACTGGGGTGCTCCCTGGGCATGTGTTCCCCACTCACTCTGGCACCAGGACCTGCCTCCCCTCCATCCCTCTGACGGCACAGGTCGTGGCTCTGTTTATCTCGCTGGATTTGAAGAGGGAGTGAAAAAATCCATCTTTGGAGTAAACTCCTTAGTACAAGAGGCTTAAGGCATCAATGCGTCCCGTTCAGGCCGGGACTGGGGTTGCCTTGTTTTCCCGGCAGGCTGGATAATCCCCAGCCCTTTGGGAAATGCCAAGGCTTTGTTGGGAAGAGAGGAGGAAAAACCTACTTCAAAAAAAAAGGCAGTCAGCCAAAGCGTGGACTGAAGTGACCCCCAGGCGCTTGCTGGGAGCTGTCTGATGGGAATGAGGGTTTTCAGCTGTCATACCGGTGTGCCTGGTTTTGGGCTGCTTTGTTGATGGGAACAAGGCAGGTTTGTTTCCACCTTTGCGGTGCTGGAAGTTTTGCTGCCAGCATCGCTCCAGTACATTTGTTATCCAAACAAGGGCTGGGAGCCCATCACCCGCATCCTGTATGCAGAGTGCTAGTAACGGGTGGGTGGCCAGGAGTAGCAGAGCAAGGAAGTGGCTGCTGGGTGGGATGCAGATGCCCTATTGAGAGCCCCCCGCCTCCCCAAAAGGCAGAGTCACCCCTTCATGCCTGAGCATGTGTGTCTGTCCTCAAATCAAGCAACTAAACTGCTGCTTTCCTTAAGGTTACAGGGCGAGGTTATTACAAGAAGTACCTAAAGGCTGTCCTGTCCAAACGCCCTCGGAAGGGGGGGAGGTAAGGACAACACCGTCCCGTAGCTCTGTCTGATCAGCGAGTGCCTGGGCCCACCCTGCCTGGCTGCCCGCTGCCTGCAAGGGGGGCAGAGAGGGTCCCTGCTCCTGAGGGACATGCTTTTCACCCCCTTCCTCCTCCTCCAGCTCCACGAAGATAGAAGAGAACCTCCTATCAAGGGTCCAGGTGTATTTACGCTCCTACATCTACACTCCTGAGGAAGGTAGGCTGCGGGCAGGCATGGGCTGTGCTCTTGGCTGCAGCAGCAGCTCCGCCAAACAGCCTGC